GTTGATAGCGGCGTAGAAGAACGCGGTCGAGGTGTCCTTCGGCAGGTGTAGCCAACGTTTCACGTAGGCTCGCACCACCATGTCAAGCCGCTTCAGTGTCCCTTTGCCAGTTGCCATGAGACAGAGACGATGCAGGAACCTCGGGATCAGGTGTTGCTGCAGGATGCGCATTCGTTGGTGTGGCTTCAAAGGCGCCTTCGTTAGTTCATCCAACATGAACTTTAGATCTGCGTCCGCCTTGTAGCTCCTCTTCCCAGCCCAGTCGAACGTCACTCCGAGGAAATTGAACGTTGATGTGGTGTTGTGAGCCGGAATCGAAGCGCTGTTCAGCAGCATGGCCTGCGTATCCAGCACGCATTTGGAAATGGCCCCGTGTGCACGGATGTTCACTACCGCGGTCTTCGCCAGGTTGGTCGAAAGTCCCAGCTGTGCAATTTCCTCCACAAATGCTTGAAGTCGCAGCTGCAGATTGGCCTTGTCGTGAGCGAATAGGATGACATCATCCGCATAGGCCAGGTAGGATAGGGGACCTGCAGGGCTACTCCAAGGCAGGAAATGTTGATGGTGGAGGGCCTCGTCCATGGCCATGATGAAGAGGAGGGGGGAAAGCGGGTCGCCCTGACGAACCCCACGCGTCGGGTGGACCATTTGATCGCCGATCATGGCCGTGCCGTTGTCGTACAGAGATCGTAAGTATGACTGCAGCAGCGGCGGTGCTCCAAAGGCTGACGCGGCTCGGTGTAGAGAGTCGAACGAGATGGAATCAAAAGCCTTGGAGACGTCCACGGTGGCGAACGATAGGGTCTGCTTGTGACGATGAGCATGTCGCAGAGCAGCGTGGAGAATGTTGGTGGCCTCGAAGCATCCGTCTTTCTTGAGAAAGCCAAATTGCCCGCGGTCTTCGGGGAAGAAACTGACCCATCGGGAGAAGAGAATCTTATGCATCAGGCGCATAAGTATAGAACAGATCGATATTGGACGAAAATCGGACGGTTCTTTGGGACAGTTCACTTTGGGGAGAAATGAGATTCGGGCCTGGGTCAGATGTGGTGGGGGACAGCCACTCGCCAGGACGCTGTTGAATAGGGCCGTAAGGAAAGGGAACCCGAATCTGTGCATGTCGCAGATGCCTAGACGATCCAAACCTGGTGCACGGCCTTTCATGCGCGAGATCGCCGTCTTCACTTCCATCAACGTGATGGGAGCGATCAAGTCTGGCGATTGCTCGATCACTCGGTGAGGTGGGCGGCAGTCTCTGGACGCGGGATGACAGAAGGTCGATTTCCAGTATTCGTTGAACCCCGGCAAACACGACTCTGTCGGCGCGAAGGCGGTGCGCCAGCGGCCGCTCAAGATTGTATCCGCAGCGTCCTTCCTGTTCGACCTGTACACATTTTGAATGTGTCCATACTGGATTCGCCGGAGCTGTCGGTTGTTCTTGATGCGGTCGGGGTTCCGGTGTGGTCGAGGTTTGGTCGGTCGCCAACGGTGGGGGAAATGATGCGCACAAAACAGATTGATGGCCAATGGGAGATTGGGTGTGGCAGGGGTGGTTGCGGATGATAAAAGATGGAGGAGAGAATCGGAAATGTGGTTCCTATTCTCCAAGTTGCTCAGTGTGGTGAGTGCGGCTGAGAGAAGGGACACATCAATGGACGGGTGAAACGGGTGGGGCGGTGGACTGGACATATTGTCTGTGACAACTGATGATGTGTGTGATGGGGTTTGTGCAGGGAAGGAGGGTGATGTAGAGGGGCATATGTGGGTGATTGATTGTGAAAGTGGGTGGTTGTCCTCACATATTGTCAGAGTATTGTCAAAATGAGGGACCGTTGATGAGCTGGTGTAGGTTGGTGTAGGTGGATGTGTTTGCATGTGTGAAGAGGGACTGGGTAGGGAGGATTGTAGACAAGTATGGGTGGGAATGGGAGAGTAATGTGCGGACGGTGAATTGTTTGTGGGGGACGTTGGCAACACAGTTGGTGGCGATCTGTCAACAGGAGGTGATAGGTGAATAGGTGTGGGTGCATGTGGGAGTATGATTGGTGATTGCAGTGGCCGGTCGGTGATAGACGAGGGCCGGGACGTCGGTGTTGGGGAGATGTGTGTGTAGCAGTCGGTGGGTGATGAGGGCGCGAGTGAGGATGTGTGAGGTTCCTGTGTTGGGTTAACGGAGTGGGAAATAGCAAGGTGTCCGATAGGGGCCGTTGAACGTGAGGCGGCGTTTACAACGGAGTCGGCAGGTGCAGGTGTTGGTTGTTGGGTGGAGTCGAGGGGCGGAGGATGATGCACTTGTGAAGCAAGAACTGTCGAACGGGACCAGCCGAGCGCGCGTAAGCGGTGTTGGATGGCGACCGGAGTGCGGTGGGGCAGGAGCGTGTGAATTTCACCGTACAGCTCGCGGGCCATGGCGAACTGGCTGCATAGGTCTGTCGCGTGACGCAGCACAATAGCGTCTTCCAGAGATGACCATCCTGGCTGTTTGTTCGGTAGTAGAGCAAGACAGTCAGCGTTGTACTCCTCTGGATGCCGCTTCCGACGATGCA